AAAAATCGTACATTTATTGAAGAAACACTAAATAGCTTCACTATTTAGTTATACAAAATTACGTAAGTACTGCAAAGATATAACCAAATAAAAAGCACATATCCACCTTGTGTAGATTTTATCCACAAACAAAGATTTTCAAAACAGTTTTGCAAGGAAAAAGAAACAAAAGTATAAGCTATAAAATGAAACTGAGAAAGGATGGTATATCCTTTACAAAACACCTCCAGAGATAGAAATCAGTTCAGTATTTTAAAACCTCAAACAAAATCATAAAAGCAAGGATTTTTAGCAGGAGTTAGTGCCCTAATAGTTATTAACTGCCTTGGAAGTCCTTTAACTACCATTTAGACTCTACAAAGTCAATTATGAAAGTTTACTTTACAGGTACTTTGAAAGAATTTGGTAAGGAATCCCTGGACTTACATTTCAAAGAAGTTTCAAGAATCATTTTCCGTATCTGGCAATAATTCTCCCAAACAAGATAGAAGGGAAAAGAACGGCCTGCGCACCGACACGTGAGCAGAAGTTTGTAAGGTGGCAGGCACTAGCACTGAAAAATAAAGAATATAAAGCAAGATAAAATAAATACATAGATGTAAAAAACTGCTTGGTTTTACAGTTTTGGTCACCGTCAGTTTTCAAATCGTAGAGGTTTGTCATTAAAACTTTAAGAGAAGCAGCAAGCCTTCAAAGCCACACCAAATTCCTAAAGAAACTGCTGCTTACATCAGTTGTCTTCAAAAAACCATAGCATAAATACCAAGACGTTCCACGTGAAGCTAGCTGCTTCTGTATGTTGGGTAACTATTTCTAATTGTGATTTTAAAATAAGTTATTCATAAATTTATGTTTTTCTTCAACGTAATGTATTTATATTTATAAAAGAAAAGGGATTATATAATCTCAATGTCTAAACAAACAAATAAAATAATTATCAAGTTATTCTTCACAAATACCAGTGAAACTATACACAAGACAGATCTTTTACGTAGCAGTACATTCTTAATGAATATACATGCCTGACAAAAAGAAAAAAATATTCATACTAATATTAAGGACAATGCTGTTCAGAAAAAAGGTGCATGTTTTCACTTAGAATTGTAATAATAAGGACTTGTATCTTAAAACAACTGAAAGTTATTAAATCAAATCATGCCATTGACTGAAGGCAATATAAATGTCAAATTTTCGATTGTTTCTCTCATTACAGTGGGCTGATACTGCCCATTTTCACCATTGGAAAACCTGAGGAAGGCGTCTTTTATTCTATGTGTCTTTCAGTCAAGTCACAGCAGTATGTTAAGCATTGGAACAGAATCTGCAAACTATTCAAATTTCACACAGACATGCAACAACAATGCTCTAAAGTATCACACGCAATTAATGTATAGATTATTCAGATAAACCTGGAAGGTTATATAGATGTAGCTGAAGTCAGTGTCACTATGAAAAACATCGGTAGTTCACATGGGGATCTGTTCTGAGAATCTGGTACAGGAATCCGGATCATGAATGTCTCCCAGATACCTACAATCACTGGCAAACAGATTTCAGATAAAGCAGAAGTGAAATCTGGCTGCAGACCTTACTAACATTGGGACACCAGTGGCTTTGATAGTCTTGCCTGCAGGACTTTCTTTCCCCAAGGCTTCTGATCAGTAACTCAAAGGCTAACTTGTTTAGCAGGATCCCTTTGTCAATCAGGCTTTTGCAAGAGCCCCATACATAATTTTACTATTTAGGTAGGACTAAAGAACAATGTAATTTATTCCTGAAAAGAGGAATAGACTGAGGGCGGTGAATACTGGTGCATAGTCTCTGCTGTACCTTTCCCTCCAAACTCTACCTACACAGAGAGAGAGAGAGAGATGTGAGGGACAATTAATATATAATCTGACAAGTAGTGAGTATCTGGACAGGTCTGGTATATTATAGGAGTTTGTCAGCAAACAGTGATATTCTGACAGTTCAGGTAATTGTATTTGTTAGTCTCCTTGTAATGGGAAGCTCACTGACAGAGAACTCAAATCTCTTCGGATCTCCTGGGGAAAAATCCTTAAAAGTGCTTTTAAAAAACTGCATTGTACTTTTCCTTCTAGCCCTATTTACTTACAATATTTGAAACATTTATTCTTGTTTCAATTTTATCAATTGAAAAACTGGATATACTATACATATTTCTTAGTCTTTCTAGTGGAAAAACAAAAACAACTTTCATTCCATAGACCTCCCCAGCAACTCCTGAAGGAAGACATCCTGCCCAAAAATTCATCAGGAGTGGTAGGAGAATAAACTTTCCAGACTTCTTCAGTGACAAGAATAAGAAGGCACAACATTTCACAAGACTGTTCCAGCAGACCAATAGAGCGCTCATGTTCCCGAGTCTCTTCCTCCTCCCCCATATCGCTACTGCATCTTTAAGAGTTGCATTGTCATTGAACAATTCAGTCAAGGTACCTTATGTAAACGAGGTTATTTGTAGGTAAAACAGGGCATGGATTCTAGGTGGGCATGGATAACCTTAGAGAACCTCAAGTTGCTTCAAGTTGTTGATACAGATATTTTAGTCAAAGAAAATAAGATGACAAAGCCATTTTTCCATTAGTCATGAAAGGGAGAAAAATCTCTGCAATCTCAGTAATGAAAAGGGTGCTAAGCTTTTCATTACTAAACATCACTGTCTAAGTTTTGCAACTTCTTAGTATTGAAAACTGTCAGATGTTACCAGATGCCACCCACAGACTTCTCAAGGTATACCAGGGCTCAATGCCTAACCCAATTTACATGTGGAACTACATGAAACAAAGAATCTCTTCTCATAACATGTGTAGGTGGTACATAGTTGAAAAAAAATCACATGGCCCACAACTTACTCTTTTTCCTAAGGAAGCGGATCAGCTATACAAACTACATTACCACACAATTCACATCAGACTGACAGAAAAATCAGACAGTACCCAACAACCTGAAGGGATACACAGCTCACTAAAATCTGCAGATGCTTCTGAGGTCTGACACTAGATCCTTGGTTTAAGAGGTACTAAGAAATTTCTGAGACAATTTCCTTCCAAAATGAAAAGACACTTTCAAACTCAAAATTCCCACTGCAAAATGCTCCTGTAGGCCAAACTTGTAATTAAATTATGAACTCTGGAGAGAACAGAAAAAGCATACAAAAGGAGTCCAAAACAATAGCTCTTCCTGAAGAGAAGAAACTGTTGGTTACATAAAGCAATTGAAGTAGGAGAGAAGACTACTGTATTCAGGGCTTTGCAGATTAGTTCACTCTCTCACAGCAAGAACTCCTCCTTCACGTTCATCAGTCACACCCAAATGGCCACAAACACTGAGATCCCCTGGATCTACGAATGCTGATATAACACAGGAGGTAACTTGCTCCACCTCAACACACTGCAGATACTGAGCAAAAGGGAGCTGACCCATAGGCTTTATGCTCACCAGGACTCACCTGCCTACATATCCTCTTCTGCAGGCACTGCACGGACTTCCTTCACTGTTGCTCCCTGCTGCCCTAGTGTATCAGAGACCAGAGCAGCAGACAAAAGACAACGGGAAGCTTTGATAGAAGAGAGTAAGATTGCTAAGTAGAGGGCCAAGCTGGCTATTCTGTATGGATTTCATAGCAGTTGTCAAGTTTAGGTAAAAATGCGGCAAATGCATATTTTGAAAGTGGAAAGAAAGGGAAGGTCAAACTGTTACAGACTGAGAGAGGAACGGGAGAATGTGACAAAGTTCAGTAATTACTAAATTCGGAAAAAAACACCTAGAAGACATAATTTTAGAAGCTTAAAATAGCAAGTCATTCAAGCTCCAGTTTTAGTCAAAAAATAACTTTTAAAATTAAAACAGAAGTATGGGATTTGCACAATAATTTCTTACAACTGTGCAAATAAGATTTAGCAGTAAGAGGGAATCCAGCTGCCAGTCTACTCTGTGTAAGCGGGCAGGGAAATAGAAGACACGCAGGACACAGTTCACAGTCTAATTGATAGGATTTTGGTTTTATACACCAGGATCATTAGACAAAAGATTTAGTGAAGGCAGCTATTGTAAGCAATGGATCGTAATAAATTTGTAAACAAGGGACTTCTCCATCAAGTACACTGACGGGAAAAATGTAAGCTCTATTTTAATTCATTTTAGATAATACAATTTATTTAGGAAGTTTTCTAATATGGTCAGCTCTTAAGATACAAAAGAGTCTGCAACACAAAATGCCACTACCACACACATCTACGATATAAAGAAAATTTTATTTTATAAACTCTTGTGAACAAAACAGACTTCATACGGAGAAGCCAAGGAGGGAGTTAATGTTTATTTACATATAGAATTTAGACTATGTGCTAGCAGATCTCTCTACAAGGTCTTTTCTATCTCGGAACACAACTCCCCCCATATTATAGGCATTTAACAGACAACCTATACTTACAACCGTCGTACTTAAGGCACGACAAATTTTCACAAACATAGAAGTTTATCTAATGACCCAAAATAACTTAGAATACTGTTTGCACACGGAATATGGAGTCGCATCAGCAAACTGCAAAGAAAACTGAGGCAACTATACCGTTCTAATGAAACAGTATTAGCTACCATTAATTATATACAGTCAGTTATATATAACACACTAATAAAAAGTTTACACTTCGTCATTATTTATACCGAAGTGCAAACAGAGTGCACACCTCAGCTGCCAAACCAATTTCCCACCCCCCCACTTATTTCCTGCATTTCCCAGGTTTCAAATACACTGCTCCATAGCAATAAAAACCTTTGGTTGTGTGCATCACAATCACAAGTTTGGCTGTTGGGAAACTAAGGAGAATGAAAAGGCAATTTTACAAACAATACAACCCAAAATTCAACAGCATAGTAGAGACATGTTCTAGAAAACATTACAGCACCTTACAGCAGTTTCAAAGTGGACCTGCCACTTATACACACTACGAAGTTTCCTCAGAAGTCTCCATCAGTTAAATATGTGCTTTCACTTTCCACGTTGATATCTGTTTAACTTCATCAGTTCTTACAAGGTTAGATTTTGCATTTGGCTTCAGAGTGCAGTGTCCAACCTGGGGAGCAGGGATGGAATTAAACAAAATTATACCCAAGACAACTGAATGAGATGATGTTTACAATAAAGACAGTTTGGAAGAGTTGTTGTGCTTCTGTTAACGTAGGAAGAATAAAATAGTAAGCCTGTACAATTGCTTTAAGTACATTTATTTTTCAAAGCACTCAAGGGTAAACAATTATAGGCTTGATTACAGGCTCATGAGATTATTCTGCTTTAACCAGAAAAAGCCCATCTTTCTGTATCTACTCCTGAACATGCTGGCCTTAAGCAGTCTCTCTTCCAGGACTTTGTAATTCAGCTGTTAGATCCTGGAACAAAAGCTATTCCATAAACAAGCTGTTCCAGGATCTAACTTTGATCTTTGTATCTAGAATCAGGTATGTCAGCTATGCAATGCAATGGTCTGCAGCATCCAAAATACAAGCCTGGCCGCTTTTAACAATTTTCTAATTTTTCCTTTGGGGGGGGAAGTGGGGGGAAGTCAACAGGGAAATTTATTAAGACTGCACCAGAGCTGTTGACTCACTACAATCTGTAAAATATATGCCACATTTTGTTTGCAAAATTCTTGTGGCAGCTGAAATTTAAAAAAAAAAAAAAAACAATATAGCTGGAAATAGAAACATACACCTTAGTTTTCTTTACGTTTTCAGCCAAGCAGCTAGCCACGCGTATAAGCAGCAGCCTTCAAAGGTTGTCTGGATTTCCGTATGTTTTGCATTATTATTTCCCTCCTTTAGGCTAACAAATGCCACAGTCCAAATCTTTATCTCACTCTTAAGATACAAAGATAGGATTGCTAAGCAGAGAGACTTAAATTACTGCCATCTATTTCTATCCATCTCATCTAAGCAGTTCTGAGGTTTCTGGAAGTCTCTAACAGATAACCAACAGTACTGCTGGTCTGTGTAAGTTGAAGTAGCTTGCATCCAGAAACCAGCACTCAGAATCACCTTAGTCCGATGGCTCTGTCTACCGCACTTTTCTGGTTCCTACCAAAAACTGTAATTTTCATGGGCTTTGCAACAGCATTCAGAATCACATCTCATTCTGGATAAAGATACAAACTGTGTGGAAATGATGTTACCACAAAGAAAAATATTACAGCCCATGCTTTCATTTTAATGTATAACACATAACATGTGTTAGTCAGACCTCTCTGTACCTTCCTAGCATCTTTATTTGTAAAATTAGATGGTCACTAAATAGTTAGTATTACTAACTACACAGACAGTTTCTATGCATGGATACCTGCCCATGATCATCAAGCAGATGTCCACAGTTCAACCAACCATGAGCTGAATTTTTAAAGTCAGTCTTCTAAGTTTTTCCTCTTGGCACATCTAGAAGTGTATTTACCAGTCTAAATCCATCCAAAATAATTAATCTTTGAGATTCTCTGCCTTGATTATACTTGAAAAAAGCAACTACCTAGGCTGATGGCATAAAACATTGTAGAAAAGTTGTAGACGCATAAAAAAAAAAACTATCCATGAAAACAGCAATCACTTCAAGAATATAAAGACACATTCTTATATAAAAACATACCAGTGGGATCTCTGGACTAGAAAATGGGGAGCTATCAAAAGATCGATTTTCTTTGTCCAGTGAATCATCTTCATCATCATTTTTATGTGCAAATTTCTGCTTTAGTGCATGAGTTAGCAAAGCAACTGGATCCCAATCTGAACTTTGCCTCTTTTTGGGTCTAGAAAGAGGAGTACCTCCAGGTGACCTACAAAAAAGAAAATTATTGTCTCCTGCCCTTAATCGTGTGCTGAGTGATCCAAAATCTAGAGACACAACTTTTGTATATACCCTACCTGTAAATCTCTGATTACACAAATAATGCTGCTAATGATATTTTACAGCAATGCACCAAACAGGAATAATACAAGTACACCCAACTTGTCAGCCAGATTCTTAGCTTGAAAATACAAATTGATGCTGTTCCATAAAGAAAAATGGCAGTAAATCAACACAAATAATTAAAGTATTGCAAATAAATAATGAGGGGAAAAAAGCAAAATGTACAGCTTTCATAGAAGGTCTCATTTATAAGTTATATTAAAGTATGTTAGAGGGAATCTCTCACTAACATATTTCATAACCATTGTGAACATAATTTGATTTAAACTTCATTAATTTTAAGTTCAGAACAGTATGCCTTTCTATGGCCTCATAAGAAAGAACAAACTTTAAAAATTCCTCAGAGCAATTATATTTAAAGAAAACAACCACTTTGTTTAAGTCAAATATGCAGCCAGGTGACCATAAAGCCCCATTTATAAAGCACACTTGAACTCAAGTTTCATTATAAAAAAAAAAACAACTTATCAGATTTGGCACAAAGGCTTCAAAGACAATTTTTCCCTCCAAGCGAGCACCTGAGCATCCAAATATGAAAATTTTATAGGCAAAAATTAAAAAGTAGAGTTTATAATTTCATTCAGAAAAACTGTTCTTATCAAATTCAAAATCAAAAGATAGCAGAGATGTAAGATCAAAACAGCACCTGCACTCCAAAACCTAATATAAATGTGGAAATTAGTGACTAGCCCAAGAAAATAAATCATAAGAAAGGCTCCCTAACCATCGAGATATTAAAAAAAAAAATCTAGATATATTCACACTTCCGCTAGTAAAGTGCTATCTCCAGGCCAACGAATTGTACCTATTAATGTACACTGACAGTACTGAGCTCAAAGTCAGGCAGTTACAGTGGATGTCACTTAACATGAAAACTGAAAGGATTGAGTTCACACTTCCTTTAAAATGAAGCTGTTAGAGCACTTGCCCAATGTGGAAGCTGGTGCTCAGGTGGTAGAGACGGGGATCTTCAGGCTCTCAACTTCTGAGAGCAGAAGTCTTCCCTTTACAGTGCACACATTAAACTACTGTCAGACTGCTGCCTGAAAGATTATAGGGATTTTGATCATCATTACTCCCGCCAACAATATAAATTCATTATTCAGTTAAGTTCTACCTTCAGAATACAGGTAGATGCCTAAATCTAGAAAGCATTTCAGATGCACACCTGCCACTTCCTACTAATTATGCCCCTGCTCAACGTGATGGTTGTTAAAACTGTCAACCTGAACATTTCACTTCCTTCATTCACCGTACATAGAATTATATGGAAGAAAATATACATAAGGAAACACACAGGTTTACCTAAATGCACTTTATATTTGCTTTATTTACTGTGCAAATGTCATCAAAAGGATAAAGACACACTTTAGAGTTGCATGTAGATAATTTGCCAAAGATTTGTGCTAGTTATTTTCAGGGATAAAGTTCACAGTTAAGAAAATGCTGAAAAAAGAATGCAGTAAGCTTTGCTAAATAACATTCTTCCCACATTAAGAGCTCCAAATATTCATTATAGACTCAGTTGTTCTCACATATTTTTTCAACTCAAGAAGTTCAGAAAAGACATCTGACCACCTCTATTACACCTAGCATAGCAGAGCAACACTGACCCAAAGAGGTACTGCATTCTTTAGTAATGCATTTTTGTAACGTGTCAACTGTGCTTACCATCAAAACAGTAGACCATTAAAAATGTTTATAATCCAACTGCACTATCGAAATGCAAATTTACGAAACATTTTCAATAAAGAAAATACATGCTGTACCTTTTAACACTTCAAAGCTAGGACCAGAATACTTTGGGTACGTTAACAGTAGTTTTCCAATGTTTCCCCAAGGATTTGTCCTTTCACAGAGAATCCAAAAAGTTTATTTGTTCAGATCAATTTCCTGTGACTGTGCAGGCAACTGTAAGCAATCTCCAGATAGCAACACACCCACCTCCCCACCCCAACCCAACATTTGTATGCTAAAGCAGGAGACTAGTTTTAAATGCTGTGATATTCAGCATGTTTTAAATGCATCTAAAAGCCATGTCACAAGTATCTTACATTCCAAGCTGTGAACTTAGAAGTTGCCAACTTAAGTTTGTCAGCAGTAGCTGCTCATTAAATGACATTTCACAGTGGTGTTCTCTGGTGCCACTTAAGTGCTGTGATGCTTACACAGTCTTGGATTACTCAGATACACATTCAATTCAACCTACCTCTCAATAGCTCGCAACTGAACTTTGTTTAGGTCTTTCAAAACATCCATCATACTAGGAATGTTCTTTGTCCTGTGATGCTCAGCACTATCAGCTGTAGCTGAACCACTGTTTCTTGCAGCACGACGTTGTTTTATAAGTTCAATTGCCGAATTACTAGCATCAACACCAGATGGTACACCAGAAGGAAGTGGAGGAGGCGAGGGAATTACAAAGTGATTGTGAGAGACGGACAATGGCGTAGAAGTCATGGCTGGCACTGGGTAAAATCCATCTGGAGTGCTGAATGTTTTAAAGGCTTCTGGATGCAGTTATAAAAGAAAAACAGTGATCTTATTTTTCGTCAGTATACCTTCATGACTAACAATATTAAGCAACATCTACAATGACTCAGTTTTAAGTCAAGATAAGACAGCCCTCTTAAAGCACTTTCTTACACATCTCACATTATAGAACAGAAGAATTATATTTAAAACAAAGAACATTTTTTATTTCAAAGCCACAGATTCGGAACACATGAAACAATGGATCTGAGGTGTCTTGTGTTACCCTGGTTTTCTCCATTTGCGTCTTTAATCTAAGCACTAGATAAATCAGCAAAGCAGCACTGCAATAGCAAAGCAGCCTGCTACTACCTGCAGTTCATTCTGTGCTGGTTTTGGCTGGGGTGGAGTGAATTTTCTTCATAGTAGCTAGTATGGGGCTGTGTTTTGGATTTGTGCTGGAAACAGTGTTGATAATACAGGGATGTTTTGGTTACTGCTGAGCAGTGCTTACACAGAGCCAAGGCCTTTTCTGCTTCTCACCCCACCCCACCAGCGAGTAGGCTGGGAGTGCACAAGAAGCTTGGAGGGGACACAGCATGGGGTGGAGTGAATTTTCTTCATAGTAGCTAGTATGGGGCTGTGTTTTGGATTTGTGCTGGAAACAGTGTTGATAATACAGGGATGTTTTGGTTACTGCTGAGCAGTGCTTACACAGAGCCAAGGCCTTTTCTGCTTCTCACCCCACCCCACCAGCGAGTAGGCTGGGAGTGCACAAGAAGCTTGGAGGGGACACAGCAGGGACAGCTGATCCCAACTGACCAAAGGGATATTCCATACCATATGACGTCATGCTCAGCATATAAAGCTGGGGGAAGAAGGAGGAAGGGGGGATGTTCAGAGTGATGGCATTAGTCTTCCCAAGTAACTGTTACGTGTGACGGAGCCCTGCTGTCCTGGAGATGGCTGAACACCTGCCTGCCGACGGGAAGTAGGGAATCAATTCCTTGTTTGCTTTGCTTGCGCACGCGGCTTTTGCTTTACCTATTAAACTGCCTTTATCTCAACCCATGAGTTTTCTCACTTTTA